TTAAACTATAAAAGGCAGTGTTTTTTGGGGTAATTGTAACAATGATATAAAGATTCTCTGAACTATATTGTACTATGTGAAACTTGGAATGTGATATTAACAATAAGAAAACTGAACGAAATTTCTCAAAACCCGAAACCAAGATCTATTAAGTAAGGTAGTCGCTCTTCTACTTGCATAGCGCACATGCATAGCCGAGTATTTGAAAATCCTTGCCAGGTATAATGGCATCATCTCTCTAGGGTTAAACCTACATCCCTGTGCCTGTTTCGTAAAATTTGCTTCACTGCAATTTTACATCCTTATTCCTAAAATTTTTGGTTGAAGAGGCTTTTTTCAGAAAAATTGCATAAACCAAACTCTGTCCTTATTAGTATCAAAATTAAATTTTTGCAAAATTTTGAGCACTGATATAATAAATTTTATATAACCCAAAATTTTCATGAAATGACTTATATTCTTAACTCAATGGAGAGATAAGATATCAACCAATCAGATTTTCAGAAATAGATCTTAAAGGATGAAGAAAGCGTACTTTCAGATTTTGAGAAATTTCGCTCAGTATTATAAACTTTGAATATATTTTCTTAAATTTGACTCAACAATATTGACTCAACAGTTTGGTGAAGTTTTTAAAAATCAACAACTGATGACTAATGACAAAATGTACGGAAGCAAATTTCATCAAAAATTAACAAAAAAAATAGGTGAATGATACGACTTTTGGTGTAAAATGAGAGTTTTTGGCATATTCATAACTTAACGGCAAGAAAATCAACAATTTTTATTTTTTTTCGTACAAAAATTATTTTAAGAAAATCAAGCGGTTTGCATTTAGAAAAATCTTCGTTGTCACTGTAAATACAGAGCTGATAACTCTGCGAAAGGTGACATTTTTAACACATATATAGGAAGCATTCACTATTAAAAAAAAAAAAATCAACAAGTTTTTAAAATAACAGTTTGCATGCAGTTTTGCTACATCCGTCAAAGTTCATTTACGTAAGCACCATTTCAAATTTTTAGGAAAACAAATTTTTTTATGAAATATATTTTTGTAAAAGTTTTTTATGAAATGTGAAATAGGAAAACATGCAAAAATAGTCTATCAAATATTTTAACAATTATCATCTTCATGAAAATTGGTCCACGACTATAAAACAATCCTCCGACAAACGTTCAACTTTTCGTCAAGTACAAAAACTTTTGCAATTTTCATGAAGATGTTTTGACAACAATGTATCTAAGCAAGGCTATTTTTTGAGTTATGAAAAAATATGAAAATGAGGAGGAATTAACAGAAAATGCACAAAGTTTGTTTGAACTCGATGCATATTAAACCATGATGATGAATTGCATATTAACGAATTTTGACTCTTTTATAAAGGAGGCAAAATAGAATCTTGTAACTATGACAACATTTAAAAAAGCACCAATGCTGTAACCATTCATATTTTTTAGATTTTTTTGTTTTTTTCAAATGAAAACTTGAGATTATTTCAAAATATACGAATAAGAAACTTCAGTCATTTAAACATTTAACATTATATTTTATCTACAAATTTAATGATAGGAAACTCAAATTGCAATCGCACATAACGTGACAAGAAGCGAACCTACGGAAGACCATCCATACTGCCATCTATATTGAGAAACTAACATTTAGCACAACCTTATTAATATTGTAAATCAACAAGCAAGATATATTAACAAACGGGGGGTCATATTTTTAGCGCCTCAAAAAATTTAACAATTTTTAAAATGAGCAATTGAGATGGATATTAGAATTTGTCATGATATAAATTAAATCACAAGTTTGTAATCATAGTTTGTTCTTAACTTTTGAAAATCACTCTTTTTGAAATCTATGAGAACTGTTTAACAATTGAAATTGAATTCTGATATATCATAATGCTCTACGCATCAATTTTCAAATGTATATAAGGTGAATTCTATCAAATTAGGTTGAAAATATACTTAAACTACATTTCACAAAATTTGATTTTCAAATAGTTTAAAAATTTGACATAATCTTAGTTTGAATTTCAGATTTTTTTGATGAAAATATCGGAAATTGAAAATTGACATTTATCTTTGGTTGTATAACGAATAGATAATATTTGAAACAATGACAGGTAACTATTGCTAAGTAATATATACAAGTAACTTATTGTTATTAACAAACATTGAAGGCAGAGATTGGGAATAGACAGACATCTGATATGTAATCTACAAGTTTTATAACAATATTACGAAATACCAAACACAGTTCTAACTATATATAATTCTGTTGATTAAGCTACAATTTTAAAGACAACATGCATAATATATTTTTCACTCAACATTTAATTTTTTTTGTTTTTTTTTATAAATTTTTATAACAATAATAAATGCTTTCATAATTTCTATTTCGTGACAACCATTTTGACTATTATAACGAGACATATAACATTTAAATAGAAGCATTCTGATTGGATAATTGCACTCATTGGCTGAGAAAACGTCCAATAACAAATCAGTTTATAAACAAGAACACCAGCAGTATCTCGGATGAGTAAAACTACCAGTGATGGGCTAATTTTCAACCTACGTTATGGCATAAAAAAATACTGAAGATATTCTCTGAGAGAAAACAATGTTTGGTTTTTTGCATTCACAGAATCGTCATCACGACATCAAAAGCGGACGAAGTAACGATCAAATTTTCATACAAATATTTCAAAATTAATTCTATAAAAAAACAGTGAATGTATCAAAATTTCAACTTCTAAGAAACAGTGTATTAAAAAAAAAAAAACTGTCAAAGTTTGTTTTAATTCTTCGCGCAGCAATAACATTTTAGCACTAATTCTAACATATCAAACGTTTTTACAAAAAAAAAACACGAAAATTTAATTAAATGAGTAAAACGACACTGATTAGTACATGGGTGGGTGTAGGGGGTGGGGTTATATTTAGGGGGTAAGGGATAATATCAAAACAATTTGTTAACAAAAAGAAAACTGAAGTCTCGTCTCCACGAAAACTAAGTTATCTGTTCGACCAGTGAATATAATGACTTTAAATAAGTTAAGATTTAAACCAAAATTCAACAAAAAACATATACCACGATAATAATAATTAATTTACCACGATAATTATAAATTTACCACGCAATAATTAATCAATATTAATAATAGTAATTATAGGGATAAATAGTCATTACTTGTGATCACTGTTTATAGCCAGCATTCGAATGCATGGATCAAAATTTTGAATTCTGTCTTAAAATCTTATTTGGAATTTTCATATTTGAGAAAAATTTAATAAATCAGTAAGCTTCCACTCTAATTATATTTCAATGCCAATAATTCAGATTTTTGATAATTTTAATTTTAATACAAAATTGTTGTTTTGGAAATTGTCAAAATTGTATTATTCTCCAATGGAATGATCAAGGTAATTAAAATTTTAAAAATTTTTTGCAGAAAACAATGAGCTCAAGTAAAGGGACACAACAATGGTTTTTCATTTGACTATTGCAACTAACTGAGGTAGAATAAGCCTCGACCAACAGAATCTATACAATGCAATAAAACTCACGATTAACAATATTTAAATCGCATAGAAAGGTCATAGGTTAAATAATGCAACTGAACCAATATGCTGTGCCATGGGATTATTGTTGCTAAAAGCGATAGACATAAGTCAGCTGACCAAGATTATTTCAACACTTGCTTATTGGATTCACACATCAGCATTTTCTTTTAAGAGTTATCTTTAGAGATAAATTAGAAATGAATGCCTGCAATAAAGGTATCAAAATATTATCAGTAATCTTATTCCAGATTTGATAATTCTTCACTCTTTTCTAATTCAATTTAAAAATTGTTAATACGCTTAAAATAATAAGGAAATATTAATGATCAGATTTGATAAGCTGACAATTTTTCTTTCTTAGTTTGAAAGATTTTCTAAAATTTAGTTTCTTAAAATTTGTTATTTTCTGCAACTGCGGTCTTCTAAATTTGATCGAAATTTTATCCGAATGTGCAGAAATGATGAATTGATCATTAAAATGCAAGTAAAAGAATTAAATGAAAAGTCTGAGGTTACAATAATAAAATAATGATTAGGGAATTTAACAAATGAAGTGTCCACAGGGACATGTGGGAACGGAAATAAGTTGGAATTTAATGCATGCATAGGCCTACAAGTGTTGATCGTACAGGTCTTTTATGTATGGTTAAGCAGAATATGATAATGCTTCGTGGAACTTCCAAAAGTTACAGATTATTCATTTAAGAATGCCAGTTTAACAATGTCAAGCAATGTTGCCTGAATCTACATTTCATTTAAAATTTATACTGGTTAATGCACTGTCAAATATGAACAATATTACTTCGGACATAAAAGACTTGTATGTTCAAGACTTGTGATAAACAACATGAACAAAGGGAAGTAATTAACAGAAAGACGTTATGCTAGAAGCCACCATCAAATACAGCGGCAGTTATCACAAAAAAATAATAACAGTAAGGAAATTATAACACACGTAATAATGAGAAAAAAACACACTATGATCAACAGGGCTATATATAAATGATTTCATGGATTTTAAAACTAAAAACAGAGTTTGGGTGTCAAACTTTATGATTTAATTCAAAATATTTTGCAAAAATATCTTCATGGAAAGTCACGATCAAATTGACCAATGAAAACCAAACTGGCATCTGGTCGGTCAATAGAAGCCATTGTGACCATAACAAAGGGAAGTAATCTCCTTTATGGAGACAACTCTAGAATGACTAGTTATATTAGGAGGCTTTCCATTGGTTAACAATAATTAAATAACAGGGTGAATTTGTGACTGGGTTAATCCTAGCTACCAGTCTACTTATTATGATAAATAAAATCTCACTAGATAACCTTTCTTCTGAAATGAACAAAATTCAAAATGATTTGTCCAGGTTGATGAATTTTGGCGAAAACCTTGCAGACCTCTTTTCTTTCTGTACATCTTACATATATTTATAAATATAAAGTTTGTAATCTTTACTGGCCAGAACTACGGAACCATCATCCATCAAAGCCACATCAAAACACTGGGCATGTTTAACTTTACTTTCAAGGGCATTAATTAATTGTCCATCTTGAGTAAAATTGGTCAAGTTAAAATTGTTGTGGTTATCTGCTACAAGCACTTCTCCTGCGCTGTTTATACCGACCCCAATTGGGTAATTAGTCACACCCTCTCCACCAATCTGTCGAAGGTACAGACCCTGATAGTTGAAGACTTTGACGCAGTGAGCTCTATTATCACTAATAAAGATTTCTTCCTTATCGTTGACCACCACGCTGTTAGGGAATTGAAGATGTTTTGAGCAGCCAAACTTGTTTAGGACGTTACCATATTGATCAAATATGATCACTCTCATGACTTTACATTCCACAATGATAATTCTTCCCTTGTTGTCAACAGTTACTCCTCGAGGATGCTGCAAGACATTGGCACCAAATTTTCTGACAAACTGACCATATTGGTTGTAGATCTGTATTTGGTGTGTTGGACTTCTCTCCGTGACAATAATATCACCTGACGCTTTGACAACAGAGACTCGATTTGGATACAAAAGTTGTCCATCTCTCTTTCCGCATTCTCCGAATTGGAATTTAAATCTACCTTCTTTATCAAAGATCTGAATTCGATGATTATTGGTGTCAGCAACTATGATGTCATTTTGGGCATTAACAGCAACTCCACTGGGCTCTGTGAACTGTCCTTCAAGAACGCCAAACTCTCCAAATCGGCAATGGTAGATCATCTTTTGGCGCCGTATTTGAGACTTCGGTGGATATAGGCTGGAGCTGATTAATTTTGAAGTCAAATCTCCCATAGCATCTGGTGGAGGAGAGAAGACATCAATTCCATTCTGCAGAATATCCAAACCACTGGACCATTTCTCATACTGATTGGTGTCATTTGGTGGAAATATCAAACTGGAAGATCCGAAATCTTTAGTAAGGCAATTAGGATCAAAGATGTGACCATTGGATAAGTTGGAAGTTGATACGTAACCATTTGGTCGTGCGATTGGTTGTGGTTTGGGTCCGCCACCATTTTGAATCTCGTTACCCTGACGAATGTAACCAAATGTGTTTCTGACACCAGTTTGAATAGCTTGGAAGTTTGATACAAATTCCAATTCAAAATAATTCTCTTTGTTCAGATCTGGTAGATAGTTGAACATATTCTGAAAGCGTTGTTCGATAAAGTTTTTCAACAAGAGTGCTTCAGTAAGCGAGGCATGTTTGATCAGTTTGTCCACGAATTCACTGCCAAGGTACAACTTCTCTACTGATTCTGTGATCTTCTGAGCCAAGGTGCTGATTCCAACCTGCTTTGTGTTGAAAGCTTGATCGAGCTCTTTCAGTGAATCTTGTTTGCGTTCTTCTAACATGGCCCTGTAGAAGTTATAGGTGTCATTGATATCATCTTGAGCCTTTGTATATTGAGATTGTAATGTGGTGGATAACATTTCAATCCCTTTAGCTGATAGTCGTAAATCGTTGATTTTAGACCTTGCTTCCGCTTCTAGATGGCGCATCATATCCACCTGACGATGAGCAACATCCATCAAAAATTGACATTCATGACCTCTTCCGTGATCGAAAACTGTACATTCTTTGCAAATTGGCTGTGAGCAGGTTTTGCAGAAAAATTTCAGGATATCATTTCTATGGCGTGGACAGTTAACCTGTTTGTCTGATTTTGGTTCGTCTTTGTTCATTTGAAGGTCGCCCAAACTTAGCACTCTGTGACCCTCGAAACAGTGCATAAACTGATGTGCCATTACACAATTTGCACATAAAAAATTGGCACAATCGAAGCAACGAGCCACGGCATTTGTTTCTTTGCTTTTACATCCAGTACAATTTAAGGCACTACTTTCTAAAGCGTTGGACTCTAATATGTTGCTTACTGCGTAATCTGGTTTCAGACCCATTAATCCATCTGCACCCAATATCGTATCAAACTGGCAATCGGGGCACGTTATTTTCTCTGTGCATTCTTGAGATTTCTCTAAACATGGCTGACAATATGTGTGGAAACAGCTGAGAACCTTTGGTATCGTAAAAGTCTCGGTACATAAGTTGCATCTTGTATTCATGTTAGCAGACTCCATTTCACTATCTGAAGAATTAGATGCCGTCGTTAGGGTATCACTCTGGGAAGGAGTGGGGGAGGCCATCTTGAATTTCTTTCTTTATTTTACCACTTATTAAAATTGCACCTGAAAAATACAAAAGTAAAGAAATTAAGAACAAAGAAAATTATGAAATCAGCGCACAGACACAATAAAAATCTTTATCAATGAAAGAATACAATCTTGTTCAGGCAGTTTGCTTTGTAGCTTAAATATTCCAACATCGAAAATAAAATTCTTATTTCCAAACAAGATGTCTTCATGATGGCAATAACTGAAACCTAATTTGTTAACTGACTTGATAGGACTTGATTAAATATTTGAAATAATCAATTATCATCGCTATGAATTTTAAATTTAAGTCATTGATTATCAAATTTCATAAACGATTAAATGTCAAAGATACATTTTCTCCACTGCAGTCAGTCATCCACTACAGGTAGCAAAGAATGGTATGAATGTTGAAATAGATCTTAATCAAATCCATCAACTTCTGTTACTTGCAGTGACTTTAAAAAGAAGTACACCATACAAACATAAAGACTAATTTTTATTAATCCACTGGCAAACACTTTCACTTTGTTGTGAACCAAGTTATTGAGTTACTGAGCAACCAATTACAAGTGGTGTTCTATGAGTAAAATTTCCAAAAGCCAATAAGAGACGATGTAACAAAATATCAGAAGACCAATCAGTATGTTACATGAGCAAAATTTAAAGGGTCAAGCATGGATGAGGTGAGAAAATACCAAAGCCAATTAGTGTATCATGAGTAAAATCCTCAGAGCCAATCGAAACCAATGTAAGGAAATATCAATAAGCCAATCAGTAAAATCCTCAGAGCCAATCAAAGAACAATTTTGAAATACCAGGTCTAATCTATAAGCCAAGCAATGATACAGAAGGCAATTGTGAATAACCTTTAATAACAGAGGTGATATTACAAAATACCAAGATATATCAATAAGACCAATCAATGATTCTGATTTAATCAATGAGTAAACTGTATTAGCCAATCAGAGATGATGTTAGAAAATATCAAGTTTTATCAATGAACCAATCAGTAACACTGTACTACGAGTAAACTTGATGTCACCTCGACCAATGACTAAGCTAAACACATGAGCTGTTCTGATTTCAATTCTTTTATAATTAAGTTTTGAACATGGAGTTACATTCCCAAATCAATCAGTAATCCTTTTCCAAAAAAATTCATTTAATCAAAATAATTCAGCCATGTAAAATAAGATGACATAGCCAAATTAAAGTGATTGTTAAGAGATTTTCTAAAACTTGTATGCACCCTTCCAATTTTTAATCAGTTGTCTGTGGTCCCTGGAATTCCACCAAAACTGAGCAATGTGCAATCATAAGATTTGAACAACAAGCTGAAAGCACATTTACAGAAAAAAAAGGGAATATATTATGGTAAAAACACACTTCTTTAATCACATAAAATGTTAACACAATTTACATGTGTCGTCAGCAGATGAATTCCCATTTCTGCAAAGTATATGCTTAAAGTTTGTACTTTCACAACCTAGCATCACTATTACTATCGCCATTAGAACCCAGCATCTTTCATAGAGTTTATCTATTATCATTAATGTAACTGATTATTTTGGTAAGTTATGTGAGTAAATGAGTTAAATTGACGAAAATTCACTTCACCGAAATGTACATTCTATTTTCGATTTGTTCATAATTTATGTGTAGACAAAATTACAGTTTTACATATAAAACCAGTTGTGTAACAATTCAGCATAGTGAAATTTCAAGTGAGTATTTTTTTGTGTTAAATTCAACAAGATTGTTGAGAGATATCTAATTTGGTCCAGACAGACAAATAGATGTAAATATTCTGATTGTCAATTTACAAGATTGGGGTCAAAATCCGTACAGTCTGACTTGAAAGTTTATTGAATTTTTTCAAAGTCATCTTAATTAGAAGGTAAAATATAAGAAATGTTTTCATTTTAGATATACCACAGGGAATTGGCCTACTGAAATACAGTACTTTGACAGGTGACATTTGATATACTCATTTCATGCACAGACAGGTACTCTTAATATAAAATTCAACTACCAAACTATGTTTCATAAATTGAGGCTAACTTTCCAATATTGCATACAGGTAATGTAACTCCCTGGAAAAGTATTGAATTGAAAAAAAAAAAAGAAATCTGGGTCACTTGCAAGACCTGAATATATATATAAGAAAACTGATTCAATTTAGTAAGACCTCATCTCATGCTGACATGAGTTTTAGATATACAGTTCTCATTAGCAAGCTTAACTGATCCATATAAAACTCCAGGTAATACTAAGTGCCACTCAGGACAAGATATTTTAAATGCATAGAAAATCAAATAAATACAGGTACATGGCCTGAATAATTTTAAACCTGATTTAATTTGATAAAGCTTGAATGAACTATCCATTGTAAATCTCAAGGCAATTCAAAGTCTAACTTACTCAAAATGATATCTTAAATGCACTGCAGATATATATATAAAAGAGTAGGCCTATAAGGCCCAAAAAATTTGATATTTGACTCAAGGCAATTCAAAGTTTCACTCTCTCTCAGACTAGATATTTTAATTGAATAGAATATTAAATAAGATTTCAAGGCCTAAATAAATTTGAGGCTAGTCAGCAGTATTTAGAACTATACATCTGTTGAAGTAGTTAGACAGAACATGTGTTGAATATCAAATAAATTAAAGATAGTCAATTCTCCATTTACACTGTAATATAACACCAATCATTTTATTCTGCACTTAATTGAAATGGAATGGAGTTTTGCAAATTATTTCTGTTTCAGATTGGGCAATTGACAGTGGGCAGCCCTGTGCAGTGTATAACAGAATTTTTCCAAGTATAACTGCATTTGTGACTTTTGAAGAATCATTATCATGCACAGCTTGTCATATTCTGGGAAACTTCTTATCTCATCTGAACGACAAGACACCTTTTCCATGTCACTTCCATCAAGCTGCATAACTGACGGGGAATCGGACCAAAAAATTGAAAGGTTCCATTTCGACTACTGCCATAAAAAATACAACTATATACACGACAAAATAAGATCACCCTATCACACTCAAAGTAAAAAATTTCTTATGCCTGTGCTAGTGCTTTCGACCTAACACTGATTTATACTAGACACAGAGTGGCATGAAATGTTCAGGAAATTAAGCCTACATTGCCTCAAAAATAGAACAAATCCACAGGCAAGTATTATTTCTAAAATCAACATTTAACCATTGAAAACTAACAGTAATTATAACAAAGAAACTGAAGATGTAAAATTTAAAATTAAAGTCAATAAATTCATATCAATTCATCAATGAAATCTTATCAATAAATCTAACGATTATTTAAGATAATTAATGATGTAGGAGATATTGTAATTAATAATCAGTATTTCATGGTTCAATGATAAATACCAACCAGATATTAACATCTATTATCCATTGATATCATTGTATTAATTAAATAAATTAAAAGGCACAGATGCACCATTTTGGGGTCTGATTTAAATCTTGAATATATGTAAATAGTCTCCAGAAGTACTAATAATGTACAAAACCAGCATTATTACCTTAAAAATATATCAAACTAGGAATTTATTTTTTATATATGGCAGTGGCAAAGATAATGCAACTTGTCTTTTAACTTTCAAACGCGGATAATTTTGCATACACATGGATTTGAAGGTTCAAATTTTGATGTGAGCTGTGAACATTATCACTGATTGGCTGAAAAAGACTGGTCTTGAAAATGGAACATATTCCGCTTACTTCTCCCAAGTTATCATTGAACACCATGTTTCAACAATTTACAACTTCATCATCAGGTGAAATACATGTATATAACATAGTTAGTTCAATACCATAGAAAACAAAGCACCTATTCTCACGACGGTCTTCAAGACTACATGAGATTAGAAAGGAGAAATGAGGATAAATCAAATAGGCAGGCTTTAGAGCCCAATATTCTTATATAGATACTTCTAGGGCATTTCAACACTAAGGCTATGAGAGGTATAATAAGAAAGAGAAGTAATGAAGTTGAATGAAAACAGGTAGATAGTCAACATGAATAAATAAATACTGCCTGTATATTGACCCAGGGTCATCCATCAATCACATACTAGTACTGTAAACATCTCTATACAAATACACCTTTTCAATAGAGGGGCTTGTTGGATTGGTTTAAACTGAGACTCATTGGCTTACTAGTAGCCCTATTGCAACATTCCAGTATATAATTATATAGACAATTTCAAAACAAATATAACCATTTTTAGTTGTTGAACTTGCTTTAGCAGAGACTCATTGGCTTAGCCCTTTTGCAACATTCCAGTATACAATTATAGACAATTTCAAAACAAATACTGCCATTTTATATTGGGCTTGTTGAACAGATCATAGTCAAGTGACCTTTCATTCTTTAGTATTTCAATGGTTTCTGGATGTGATTATAGGTAGGCCTATAATTCATTTATTTACTTCTTTTAGTTCAGAAAGAAACACATGTATTACATAACACTTATTTTTCATTGTAGCAAATTTAAACAAATAGATTTCTGCATTTTAGATCAGTGAGGATGGCAGCCATGTTGGTTTAATCTTGTATTATTAACAAACTGCTAAATGTATCCCACTGCAAACTAATTAACCACAAACTATACACGGTATCCATCAAATAATTACCACCCTGAGCAAATCAAGCACAGCCTTTGTCTAGGAAGGTGAAGGCCACTAGTCACATGTCCTTCACCTTTAGTAGAGAGACAAGTTGGCTTGTATCCAAACTAAACAAAGACGAGACTGACTAGGTAAAGTAGGTTGATACAGTACTGTGTATTTAAAATCAACCTGTAGTCAATATAGTTCACAAATCGGTCAATCTATCACTGACTCAAAGCATGGCTGACTTGGATATATCAGTGTCGAATCTTTGCTAAAATATTCTCAAATATCTGCTAAATGCATATAATAATTAATAGTTTATACTGGTATAATTTCATTCTGTGCTAA